TCTCTGGGCCCCCCCCCCCCCGCCTGTTTCTATAAACGCAGCACCCCAAAAAAAAGGAAAAATCCGGTTGTTTTACTATTGTGCTGCTGGAGCAGATAGAGCAGCCCTTGGCTTCTGACCCGAGAAAAGAAGTGGGGGGCGCGGAGCTTAAGCCACTGTTTCATTTCCCCTCGCGCATGAATACGCGGGCGCCGCGCGCTGAACCTGCTGCGGAGGCGGAAGGAGTCTTGAGTGCGAGCCCGGGGGCGCGCGGCGCGGCGCGGCTCAGACGCGCGTGTTCGTGTATTTGGTACAACATACGGCGCACAGAGAGTACACAGTATACGTGTGGACAAGCGCACACGGTGAATATAATATATAATATCACACACACTGTTGCAAGTTTTAGGTACACAAGCGAACCAAACCGGGAACACTTCCAAAGGCGTTGAGGGACTTGCCGAGAACCTAAGGTAAATCCTGCGCCTCTGGTGGCTGTCCCAGCGCCGAGCTCAGCACTGAACAGCTGCACGACCCCGGGCTCTTTCTCGCCCCCTCCAGCCGGTGCTCGCCGGAGGAGCCCTCTGCAGAGAGGCGCTGCCCTTCGACCTCACAGGCTGTTAAAGATGCTCACATGCACTTACTCAGCTTGATGCCATCTTTTTCCTGTACTAATGGCATAAATACAACATACTGAGGGTTTCCCTTCGCTGTTCTGGCAAAACCAAGCGTGAGCAAGGCCTTTTGCACCTGCTCTGCTAGAGAGCTGCCTCGTGCCTCGACGTGAGCTGTTAAAAAGCGTAGGGACAAAACGCCAACTCTCGCTGTGCGATAAGAAAGCGAGTGGCGAGCGAGCTGGTACCTTCTCACGAAGGCCCGGGCCGGTCCCAGTTGCTCGCAGGCTTTGCCCGGAGCCTCCCGCGGAGCGGGGCTGGTGCTGTCCGGGAGGCCGGCTCGGCTCGTGCCTCTGCACTGCGCTCCCTGTGGGGCCGACAATAGCAGTCCTAGCACCAAAGCAGCGCCGGGCCATTTGCCCGGGTGGCTCTGGGATGCTCGGCTTCCGAGGGAGCGGCTTTACTGGCTACAAATCCCGGGAGCGGGGCCTGCCTCTTACTGGAGGCCGTTCCTGCAAACCTCCGCTCCCAGCTGTCGTGCAAAGCGCTGGTGTGGGACGGGCCCGCCAGCGGCCGGCCGCCGGTGCTGCTGGAAGGGATCAGACGGGGCCAGGCCGCGCGGTCCCTTCGGGCGGCTGCCGCAGGAGGCTGGGCAGCAGTCCCGCTTTGGGGCACCTGCCGGGGTGCTGGCAGGGAAGGCAAAAACCAGTGCAGTGGGGCAGGCGCGGAGCGGGGCCTGCGGCGCGAGCGGGGGCAGGCCCTGGGCACTCCGGGCCGCC